TTTTTTTTTTTTTTTATGTCTGTTGCCACTTTTTCTCAGCTCTCACTGGACCGATTTCTTTCAAAAATACATCAAAAGATCACAAATCGTATCTAGTTGAAGACATTACCCTTAAAAATTGACAAAATTTCCCTCATTCCCCGTAAATGGGGGAAACCTCCAAAAAATTACAAATTTAAAAATCGCTAATTTTCGAAATTTTTTCACTTTTTTTTCTTAAAACTTCCATAACTTTTTGAAAAATCAACAAATCTACATAATTTTTTTTTATACTAAAACCTTAGATATCTATCTTTTATTTGATATCATTTTTTTGAAAATCTATCACTTAACCTGCTCATTAGGGGGGATTTAAAATAACAACTTTTTTACAAAAATTAACTTTTTCAACTTAATATTTGAAAATGTTCCGGAAATACTGCGTCCTTTAAACATATATTAAATTAAAGCTTATTTTATGTACTAGAAAATGAAAAAAAAAATTTGTCCCGACACTTTTTTTTCTACATTTAAACGGCTGCCGTAGTTAAAAAAACACTATTTTTGTGTTAAAATTTTCGATTTTCGATTTTAAATTTTCAACTTAAAAATGCTATAACTTTTTGAAAAATGTATATATCAGCACAAATTTTTTTTTTTCTAAATACATTATAAGTACATCTTTTATTTGACATATTTTTTATTAAAAGTGGACAATTTCTNTTATAAGTACATCTTTTATTTGACATATTTTTTATTAAAATTGGACAATTTCCCCTTATATAAGGGGTGTCCAAAACTTGAAATATTGTAAAAAACATAGAACTTTTTCAACTTAATTTTTGAAAATGTTCCGGAAATACTGCGTCTTTTAAACATATATCAAATTAAAGCTTATTTTATGTAATATAAAATGAAAAAAAAAAATTTGTCCCGACGACCTATCTTCTATGCGCAAATGGCTACCGTATTCAAAAATATGCAATTTTTGTGTTAAAATCCTGGGTTTTGTATTTTATTTTTTTTTTAAATATCTTATAAGGGCAATTCACTGACTTTCATGAATATTTTATAATTTAAATGACATTGAATAAAGTTCATAAGAACTACTAATTAGGATATAATCAAAGAAATAAGAGTTGATGTTGCTTTTGGAATAATCAACCAATTTCTCTAAATGAAACACTATCTATAGATTTGTATCGAAGCGTTTCTTATGATAGTGATTTTAATCACTGTCAAATATCATCTATACTTGTTCCATCTATGCCTTGTCTACACTGTGTCTCGTTCCCACTGTGCTACCGTTTTTTAAATTATCCTTTTCGACTTTTATAAAAGAAATATTATACATAATGAGTTTACTTAAAAATAAAAAAAAAAAGTTAATTTCCAATACAATTTATACATATTTTTCTGCTGCACTGCAGACATATTGCATCTCCACAAAGTTTACATTGATACATGGTTTTTCTTTTCTTTATTGGAGGACATATGTGACAAGTTTTTCGTATTTCCAGTTTGTCTTCGTGCAATGTTGTATCCTTTAGGTTTTTAGATTTTCCAAGAATTCTTCTAATACTACTTCTTATTTCTCAAGGGATATATGTATTTTCAAATCGTCACTCCAATTCAGGAGTTACAAGTTCAAACGCTAAAGTTTTTAAAAAATCGGCCCTCGTAATTGATTTGTTTTTTTTTAATGAATTATACAAGACATACAAATTTACTCCAGAAATATCAAGAAGTCGGTAAAATATAGCCAACGGCCAGTGACGTGTACGGCGTCCTGTAGAATAAATGGAACATTTTTCGTCCAACGCACCTACGCCACCTTTCGTACTATTATAGTAAGAAATTATCTCAGGTTTTTGAATATCATCGTCATAACCTTTTTGATTGTACATCGATGATACCAATAGCAATGGACTTAGTCGATTTTTGAAAAGAAAAAAAAATTACATTAATGGTATGGTGCGGCTACCGAACCGCTTATCACTTTTAAACGGCATTGACGACCAGAGCAATACATGTTTACCTTCAAAAACTTGGTTATCATTTTAATACTACCTCCAAAAAAAGGTAAATCTTATATCCGTAAACACAACATCAATATCTTATCAGCTAAATAAAAATACAAAATTGCAGTGGTCTATCAGACCGCACCATACCACTTACGGGTTATACTAGGAACTTTTGGTTACTCACGCACCACACAAAATTGGGGATATGAGTAAACAGTTAGATATACTTAACTACAAAAAATATTAAACAAATGACAAGAATGCAGTTATCAAATATTGTATTAAAATATAAAATAAATAAATAATAATCAGTTGTATTTGTGGATTGATTTTATTTATTATTTAATAAAGACTACATTATACATTTACACTATTTTAAGTAAAATTAAAACTATATTAAAAATATTATTAATTTAAAAAACTAAAAAATATTAAAAATATTAAACTCAAAGCCACAAAAAATTAATGAAAAGTCGTGGATACGTATTTCGGAAACAATGTTACCATTATCAACGCTAAACACATACTATTTACACTATTTTACTTTATTTTGTATTATAATATAATACACTTTAACAGTCTTATATAATACAAATTTGAGTAACATTTTCATACGAGTCTGATCACACACATGATAAAATTAACAGTACATACATACTACAACATCTCCCTTTTAAGCTTCGATGCAAAGCTGAGAAGGTATTAATTTTACTATGATATGTATTATTTTATTTTTTTTTTTTGTGTCTGTTAACACTTTTTCTCAGCTCTCACTAGACTGATTTCTTTCAACGATACTTCAAAAGATCACAAATCTTATCTAGTCGAAAACATTACTCTCAAAAATTGAAAAAATTTCCCTCGTTCTCCGTAAATGAGGGAAATCTCCAAAAAAATTACAAATTTAAAAATCGCTAATTTTCAAAAATTTTTCAATTTTTTTTATTTAAAACTGCCATAACTTCTTGAAAAATAATCAAATCAATATATATTTTTTTATAGATGCATAATGTCTTTACCTTTCATTTGGTATATTTTTTTGTAAATTTAACACTTAACATACCAACATGGGAGATTCAAAATGACAACTTTTTCACAAAAAATTAACTTTTTCAACTTAACTTTTGAAAGTGTTCCGGGAAGTCTGACACTTTTATATATATCTTAAATTAAAACTAATGCTGTTGCGTACGAGGCAGTTAGATCGTAGGACGGCTAGTTGTGCACCGCACTAGAATGCCGTTTTACCTTAAGTTTGTTTAAAAAAGCGTTAATATTGATGTGGGAGTGGGTCACCTAGGAGATGACGGCTAATTATACATCCAATAAATAAATGATAATAGACAATAATTAAATAACAAATAATCACATATATTAGAAATTCCTCAGAGAGTATCTTAAATTTAAGAGGTAACGGGGGGCCCTTAAATACTAGTGGCCGGCTAAGTGGCATAAAACAAAATAGTTTGCAAGTGGCTTTTTATTAATAATTCGGCCTGTAACAACAACGTGGTTTGCCACTTGCATAACGACTAGCTATAGTAGTAAGGGTCGCCACCACCTTGGTAAGGTGTCACACCTATCAGATATGATTACCGGACCATAGGTGAAATTTAATTTTAAGTTAATTAAAAGTATAATCTACGTTAATATGTCGTTATATGTATAAATTACTATAATACCTCATGGTTTATTAAACACAATTATGACAATCAAAGTTGTATGTGGTTGATATGTAAAACATACCGTAGCCCGTGTCTAGATTAAGGAATAGGGATAAATACACGCGAGTAATTAAGTTACTCGCGCAATAAAATAAATATTACAGTTGAAATTAATAAGGAAATTTAATTTAATTGTTAAAAAAAGAAAATTAAGTTAAACATGGACAAAAATGCGAATGCATCAAAAACCATGTCTACAAATAAAGGCAATACAAATAAAATAAAATATTTAAACAAAACAAACAAATAATATTACAAACATCATGGACGGTATTGGAACACATCCGTTAATGTTAATCGGAAATTAATGAAGAACACCAGGAGCGGTCTGGACACTCGCTCCTTAGCGTTGGCTAGAAGAAAAGGGAAACACGTGCTCTCCACACATAAACAAAATTAAGTTAATTTACAATAAAATAAAATGAAATAAAATAATTAATAAAATATAGCTCATTACATAAATATAATATAAAAAAAAAACGATACCCGGTCTCCGAAGAGACCCATCCGATGGTCTGGATGCTTCGTCGAAAAGACCTGGCCGTTCGCCGTTGGCGGCTCTACTCCATCATTGTAAGTGTCAATAAAAAAATAAACGTGTGCACCCTAGCACGGTCAATGACAGAAGAAAGAATAGAGAAGAGTCAACACCGATCTAACGGCAATTTCAAATCGATAACGGCCATTCTTTTTGGAAGGGATCAATACTGATAAACAATTCGATTTTAATTATATTTCTCTTTTATCGCCTTATCTAGCGGTCAGCGGCAAAATAATGAGTGGTTGACACCGCTGTGTCAGAAAAAGGTTCTTTCGCGCGATAAAATAAATAAGTAAACATAACAAAAAATCATAAACGGTCCACCTTCGAATTTGTGACGTTACAAGTTAATCTCAATTAAAACAAACAATAAATAACATTAAAAATAATATAAAACTCAGCTGTATAGATGACGTTGTTGATAGTGATGAGTGGACTGTATGAGATCTTGTAGTAATGGTGTCGAACGTCTGAGTATGACGAGTCAGAGTGTAAATCCAAGCACGTAATGGCAGATGAGAACAGACTACAGCAATGATAATGTTTAGTGATGGTCAGGGCCCAATCACTAGTGGCGTGCTCAAACTTTGAGCACAAGGGTGCAATAGACAAGCAATAAAAAACTATGGCGTACAACGGCCGGACAAATTTATCATTCAAGTGAAGGCGCCTGCAACAGAAAAAAAGTGACACAAAAAACAATTGACTGACTGACTTACGACAATTAACTGTATACGGATGAAAACCGACACGGAGGTCATCGATTTGCCGTGATGGGTGAACAAGGGGGTGAGTAAAGCAAGATGCTGGTGATCAACTGTTCCACGAAATAATATAATGAATGATCTTTGTAACAACCGATCAACTAGATCCTTCTAAAGGTGTTCTGTACCATACAAATGCAATATACTTTATCATGGAAAATAAAAATTTCGGACTTAATTTTGTCTTCACGGTGAAAATGGCTACAGATGCTATTTTTGTGTGAAACTGTATAATGCGATAACTTATTGAAAAGTGTATGGATCAACACAATTTCTTATGAGAAATAATATTTATATCCCGTTTTCATTCGAAATACTGTATCTTAACCAAGATATTAATAATGAAATAGAAAATCATGTAGATTTGGAATAATCCACAAATTTTTTAAAATTAACACTATCTAAAGATTTGCATCGAAGCGTTTTTTTTATAGCGTTTTTAATCACTATCAGATATCATTATACTTGATCCAACTATGCCACGTCACCGCTGTGCCGCATCCTCTATGCTGGGTTTTTTAAATCGGATCATATCCTTTTATACAAGGGGGTCAAAACTTTAAACATGCGTATTGAAGCTAGAATATTATCAATTTAATTTTTGAAAGTGATCCTGAAACACTGACACTTTTATACACAACTTAAATTAAAGCTTATTTAATATACTTTATTTTGAAAAATAAAAGTTGACCCCGGATTTGTCTTCGTGGTGAAAATGACTACTATATTTAAAAATATACCATTTTTGTGTTAAAATTCTAGGTTTTGTATTTTATTTTGTTTTAAAATACAGTGTTCTCCCCTTGTCAAGGGGAGTACACTGATTTTCATAAATATTATACAACTCAAATTGATACAGCATAGAAAATTAAACTTATTTAAATTTTTTTGCTTTTTTTAAGTCGAGAAAAATAACTTTAAAATTCGAACTAGCTAAAATTGCCATTTTTTCAGTCGACGGAAGCGATCTACGGTTGCCGTGTAATACTTGTGTTTTACGCGCTTGGGATACAAGTTTCCAACCCACATATGACATAGAATTTTTTGTATTTTATTCTTAATTTTTTTGAAGTTAGAATGAATTTTAACTCCTTTGATTTTTATCTCATTTAGATACAATAACTTCAATAAAAATCAAGAAACCTATCACTGTAGTCGCCCTTTGTGAGAAGAAATTTCTTATTCGTATTAAAATTATTTTACAATATTTTAAGTTTTAGGTTCGATGCAAAGCTGAGAAAGTATTTTTTGGTGACTATCGTTCATTTTCTCTGCTCTAACTTGACATACTTTTTTCAACGATACGTCAAATTATTACAATTCGAATCTAATTGAAGTTATTACCCTCAAAAATTGTCAAAGTCCAGTGTATAAAACTAATAATTTTGTTAACTGCTATAACTTTATCAAAAATGATCAAATCAATATAATTTTTTTATATAGATTCAAAATATCTTTACCAATCATTTGGTATATTTCTTTTTANCTTTATCAAAAATGATCAAATCAATATAATTTTTTTATATAGATTCAAAATATCTTTACCAATCATTTGGTATATTTGTTTTTATAAATTTGACTCTTTACCTGCCTATAGGGAGGATCAAAATGACAACTTTTTTTTTTTAGTTAATGTAAATCATTTAACTTATTTCATCAGTTCTGGATATTTCAATTGTACAATCTTTTTAAATGCCATAAGTTACTTAGAAATGATTACTATGATTTCTAATTAAGTGTTCTATTACAATAAAAATGCAAAAAAATAATGAGCTTTTCTGATAAACATACTGTAACTAGTAATTATAAAATTTCATAATTGCATTAATCTTAATCATTAATCTGATAGTAATCTTAACAATTTCATTATTTTCTATTTAATAATGTAAATTTCAAACTTGCAAAGTTGAGCTAAAAGTTATGGTAATAAATTCATTATTGTTCTATTAAAACTTTCACTTTAAAGTACAAAAAAAAGTAGGTTCAAAATGATTACTTTTAACATATTAAAAGTCAAAATCAATAATAATTTTAAAACTATTAATTTTAAAAATTGTGTAATATATAATTAAAAAAAATACTAATCTGGGTAAAATTAAGGAAATAGAAGTTGATGTTGCTTTTGTCCATCATTTTTTTAGAATTAAACACTATCTACAGATTTGTATCGAAGCGTTTCTTATGATAGTGATTTTAATCACTGTCAGAATAAATCTATACTGGACCCAACTATGCAACGTCCCCACTATGCCGCGACCCCACTGTGCTGGATTTTTTAAATTAAAATACGAAAATAAATAATTGTGTTATGAATGTAATTTTATATTTTCTACTTACTTAATTTTGTTTGTGTTGTAAAATAATATTTGTATTAAAATACTTGTAATAAAATAATTCTTACTAGTTTCCTATATTCCATACAATCGCAGAAATGACAATACCGAATCTGCAGCATCAAAAAGTCCTGTTTCTCTTAAATACTATAGAAAAAATATGTTAAGCACAATATTGATATACCAATATGTACCTGAATATATTTACTTAAATACTTTACAGATAGGATTTTATATACATAATGAAATGTTTAAAACGCAAATTTATCATAAATTAGTAAACATACTAGCTTTTACATAAAAATGAGGAATTTTTAATGATTACTAGCCACTATAAAAAAATAACAAATATTATCATTATAATATTTTTAATGTTAAATATGTATATGTATATTTTATGACTTATTGTAAAATAAAATTTTTAATTATAATAACATTGTTAATTATTTGCATATTTCATGATTAATTGTCAAATAACTAATAAGCTTTATATTTTTTAATTAATTAAATAATTATAATTAAGTATAATTGTCATTATACAATATAACGTTCGTCAGAAGTCATAAATGCAGTAATGATACCAAAGTTCATATTTTTAAGTGCACTATGATCTTTTAAATATTTATATAATACTTTTATAGTTCTTAAATTTAGATCAATTGATTGGATCCTAGAAACATTTTCAACATTGATGCCTTTCTGTTTTACAAATTCTTCAATTAGTTTAAATGTTGATGATTTTACTGATTTAATTCCTAAACTATTGACTTTAATGGTTTTGTGAAAATATTTTGAAATAATCTCAGTTTCTTTCTTTTTTACAAAATTTATTACTTCACTTATTGTTAATTTAGAATTTTGGGATTGCTTAACTTCTAAATATTTTTGTAACATTTCAAAAATAGATGTTAATTCATCTTCTTTTGTAAATTGAAAAAAATTCACAAAATCTTTTAACACATCAATTATTTCTTTAGAGTAATTAAATTTTTTTTCTTTTATTTTTGAAAAACTTTTGATATTGTTTAATGTGTTAGTTGCTTTGCTTTGATATATCAAGTGTTTTCGTGTCATTCTAACAATGATTAATTTTATAAAGTTCAAAAATAATTTTTGGTAAGCAATTAAGCAAGTGGAACCACTAACTAAAGAATCTAAAGTACGACTCTTTTCATTTAACATAATTAATTTATCTGTTATATTTTTCCATTCAATTTCCACTATAAATTTTTTTGTTAAATCATTCATAAAATCTTTAGATTTAACAATATCGTATATGAACAATTGGTCAGTTGTAAAATATTCTAGATTTTCCGGTATAACTTTATTGTCTTTATGTTTTTTCATTAACTGTTCTATACTTGAAATATTACTATTTATTTGTTTTTCCACATTAATAATACATATTTCATCATTACTCTTTACTTTGCATTCAAAAATCTCATATTCGTCAAAATTCAAAATTTTTTTGTCATAACCCCCACAATAGGAAGAGGTTAATGTTGTTTTTAAACGTTTAATAATTGCAGAATGTATAAATGCCACATTAGGTAAATTCTTGCCAGTAGACGTTGTTCTTAATAACATAATTTCGGAAGCTGGAGCTTCTAGTAATTTGTCCATATATATGTAGGTTATCCACAAACCATTAAGTTCTCTACTTCCTAAATCATATGCCGTGGCTATCATATCTCGAATTATTACTTTGTATTTCACAATTAACTCAAATTTTTTTTCAAATTGTTTAGTCTCGGTCATAAATAAATTAAACGTTAAAAACATATGTAACAAAACTTGATTCAAGTATGCACAATTTAAAGTTTCTAAATGCCAATTAATTGCCACCCTTAATGTAGAATCATGTTGTTTATTTAGTTCTTCAAATGTTTCCTCCAATTTGTAACTAGCCTGACACATTTTTTCAATGTACTGAAGTCTTAGCACAGTATTTACTAAAGCATCATGACTACTAGGAATATAATTATTTACACTAATGTTCCCAAACGATTTTTTACTTAAAAATATAATTGTTAAAGAAATTAAAATTGAAAAAGAGTGCAATGTGTAAGAATCCATCAAAAAATTATTAAAAAAAATAATTTTTATTAACACAAATAATATATAAGAATACTTACTTGTTCACTAATTTCGCCTCTGGTTAATAAATTTTACCTTCACAGTTATTATTTTATATACTAGTACTATTAAGAGAAATTTTTATTTTTATTTAAAATTAATTAAATAATAACTACGTTTTAAAAATAAACTATGAATTATGTACTGTTTTAGATATAATAAACATACATATTTGTCATTATTTTTTTGAATGTAATATTGCACTGTAAAAAGTACGTCAATTTATTATGATGTATAAGCATATTTTAACGAAATAATTATACTTTAAAACCTGTTAGTTGTTCATTTTTCACAATAGCCTCTTTTGTCACAACTTTTTACACTCAATGTGATAAACAAAATATTGCGAATAATTTATAAAGATAACATAAAAAAACCAAGCACAGTGAGGTGGTGGCACAGTGGGGTAGTGGCATAGTCGGGTCCAGTATAGATTATATCTGACAGTGATTAAAATCACTATCATAAAAAACGCTTCGATGCAAATCTGTAGATAGTGTTTAATTAAAAAAAAAAAAATTGTTAAAATAGCATATTTTTGAATATGGTAGCCATTTGCGCATAGAAGATAGGTCGTCGGGACAAATTTTTTTTTTTTCATATTATAGTACATAAAATAAGCTTTAATTTGATATGTTTGAAGGACGCAGTATTTCCAGAACATTTTCAAAAATTAAGTTGAAAAAGTTAATTTTTGTAAAAAAGTTGCTATTTTAAATCCCTTCCAATAAGCAAGTTAAGTGATAAATTTTCAAAAAAATGATATAAAATGAAAGGTAAATATCTAAGGTTTTAGTATAAAAAAAATTATGTAGATTTGTTGAATTTTCAAAAAGTTATGGAAGTTTCAAGAAAAAAAAGTAAAAAAATTTCGAAAGTTAGCGATTTTTAAATTTGTAATTTTTTTGGATATTTCCCCCATTTGCGGGGAACGAGGAAAATTTCTTCAATTTTTGAGGGTAATTTCTTCGACTTGATACAATTTGTGATCTTTTGACGTATCGTTTAAAGAAATCCGTTCGGTGAGAGCTAAAAAAAGTGGTAACAGACACAAAAAAAAAAAACACATCATAGTTAAACCAATACCTTCTCAGCTTCACATCGAAACTAAAGAAAAAAACCTCTAATGTAGCTAAGAGTCGCCCTAATGTTCTTATTGATATATTTTATTATATTGATATGTTCATTTTTGAAAAAGTTACGGCAGTTTTTAGATGAAAGTTTCTTGTAGTCCAGTGTATAAAACTTATAACTTTATTATAAGTAACAAACATTTTTTATTGAAAATGATTGGGTCTAGCTTTTTAATTTTTATACTCGTTAAAAGTAAAGAAATACACTACTACTTTATTATTTGTATAATATCTCTGTTAAAATTACAATATTAAATTATTGAGTATCAATTTCATACTAAATTTAATTACTAAAATTGTTATTTATTCATATATAATAATTATAAATCAAATAACTAATCAGGATAAAATTAAGGGAATAAGAGTTATTGTTGTTTTTAGAATAATCTATCAATTTTTTAAAAAAAAACACTATCTACAAATTTGCATGGAAGCATTTTTTATGATAGCGATTTTATTCACTGTAAAAATGTTCCGGAAATACTGAGTCCTTAAAACATTTCAAATTAAAGCTTATTTTACGTACTATACATTAAAAAAACAAATTGTCTCGACGACCTATCCTCTTTATGCAAATGGATGCCGTAGTTAAAAAACATGTTATTTTTGTGTTAAAATTTATTTATTTTTTTGTTTATTTTTTTATGTGCAAAGGCCAGTCGAAATAAAACAAAAAAAAAGAAGTTATTTTTGCTTTTGGAATAATCTACCAATTTCTTAAAATCAAAAACTATCTACAGATTTGCATCGAAACGTTTTTTTTATTAACTTTGATGTGTGTTTGCATCGTGAAGACAAAATAAATTCCGAAATTTTTTTTTTGTCATGATAAAGTATATTACATTAGCTTTAATTTAAGATATATATAAAAGTGTCAGACCTACCGGAACATTTTCAAAAGTTAAGTTGAAAAAGTTAATTTTTTATGAAAAAGTTGTCATATTTAATCCCATCCCTATGGGCAGGTTATGTGTCAGATATATAAAAAAAATATACCAAATGATAGGTAAAGACATCAAGCATTTATAAAAAAAAATTATATTGATATGTTGATTTTTAAAAAAGTTAGTAAAAAAACTTGAAAAAATTTCGAGAATTAGCGAATTTTAAATTAGTAATTTTTTTGGAGGTTTCCCCCATTTACGGGGAATGAGGGAAATTTTGTCAATTTTTAAGGGTAATGTCTTCGACTAGCTACGATTTGTGATCTTTTGACGTATCGCTGAACGAAATCTATACTAAATCTAAACTAAATCTAATCATATATCTATGATTAGGACAATCTATACTGAGTGAGTTGCTGACAAAGCGTAGGAACTTTCACTGAACTTGCTCTACCTGAAGTGAGCCCAAAGCAGTATAGGTATCCCACACTACATACCATATAAAGTCAAAAGCTTTGCTGAAGTCATTATATATTAAATCTACTTGTGATTGGCTTTGGTAAGCATTAAAAATTTAGTTGGAGAATACAAGATTACAGGTGGAGTATGAGCGACCCGGACGAAAGCCGTACTGTTCTTCCATTAAAATGTTATTACAAGGTCTTTGGATTCCATTAAGGACAAGCAATTCGAATATTTTTGATATATAAGACTGTATAGCTATTGGACGGTAGTTTGAGATTATATTAAGAGACCATGACTTGAAAAACTTATAAAAAGAAGCAAAGAGAAAGCATATAAAATTGTGATAAAGTTCTTTGGCCAGTATAAGACCAGATCTGGTGGAGTAGAAGATATCAATGGGGAAATGTAATATGAACAAAAAGATATTGCTAAAAGATGGAAAGAATATTTAGAAACTCTGTATGAGGTGGAAACACTTAAGGGAAATGAAACAAATGAAGAAGAGAAAACTAAAGTAGAAAGATACAAAATGAACCCAGTTTGAGGATGGAGCTTTGAAAAATCTAAAGAATAAAAAAGCAGCAGGAATTCATGGAATACAAACGGAGGTTTGAAAGGAGTCAGGAGAAAAATTTAAAAACAAGTTATTTCAAATTATCAGAGATATATACGTAACTGATAAAATGCCGGAAGATTACGTAAAAATCATAATTATCCCCTTTCCAAAGAAAGCAGCAGCAAAAAACTGTAAAGAATTCCGTACAATTAGTCTGCTATGCCTGTAAAACACTAACAAAGATTATATTCCAACGTATTGAATCCAAAATAGAACAATCGCTAACGGAGAACCAATTCAGGTGCACGAAAAATATGGGAACAAGAAAAGCAATTTTGGCATTGAGAATAATTACTCAGAAAAGGTTTAGGAAAGATAATATACATTCATAGCTTTTGTGGATATCGAAAAATCATTTGATATTGTGAATTGGACGTTAATGTTTAACATGATAACAATAATGGGAGTAAAACACACAGATGGGAAACTGCTGTATAAATTATATAAAGATGAGGTAGCTGTTGTAAAAATTCAAGATAAAGTAGAAGAAGCAAAAATAAATAAATCAGTTAAACAAGGATGCACGCTATCTCCAATTATATTCAACTCATATATTAAAGAAGCAATAGACAAGGTAAAAGAACATACCAATCTGGGGATAAAGATCAACGGTCAAAAAATAAGTATGTTGCATTTTGCCGATGACATGGCCTTAATTGCTGAAAATAAGGAAGATTTAGATCAACTGATTCAAACTATGGATGAAATATTCAATAAAATATGTAGATGAATTTGCATACCCGGGGAGCACAATCAGCAATGATAGGAAATATAAGAGTGAAATATTAAAACGCATATTTTAAGGTAAAATAACCTTAAACAACAAGAAAAATCTACTTTCATCAATAAACATTAGCCTAAAAACAAGAAAGAATTTATTGATAACATATGTAAGGAGTATAGCCTTTTATGGATGTGAAACCAGGACAATATCAACACAAGAACAAAAAAGGCTATAGTCGTTTGAAATGCGATGCTATAGAAGAATGTAAAGAATAAGTTGGATAGACAGAGTAACCAATGTAAAGGTGCTGGAAAAAATAACAGAAGGAAAGTTATTATGAAATAATATAGTTAGAAGACAAAATGTATGGCTAAATCATATGCGACACGAAGAACTGTTAAAACTGATTACAGAAGGAAGAACCAGAGGGGAATACCAAAATTTCAATATATTGTTTAAATACTAATAACCTGATCTGGTGTTAATTCCAAAATATTACTATTAAACCTAATAAATTTCAAACTCTTTTGGTAATTCTACAAGTTTGATTATTGAAGGTGCGTTTTAAATAATAATTATAGAGAGGCATATA